AAAATGGCAATATACTAACGATAGCTTAAAAAGAGATAAATCACTTTAAGGCTATTTTGAGAATAATAGTATGTTCGAATTTTTTCATAGAAAAACCGATCTGAAAATGTTAAAAACAATATTTTTATGGGTAACTCGACGAGCTCTATCCAACCATGCCAAAAATTCGGCAAAAAAACATTTTGCTCGAATTTCGATTTGCCGGCACTTTATTATTGTTGTAGCAGAACGTTATATGCAATACAAGAGAAAGAGAGAGATTTAATCTCATTAATACTATGTGGCAAGACGCTTTAGTCTCATGATTAGTGTGAACCTGTTCTAACTTCATTTCCATTGTTATTTTACTCTCTATGTTTTCACCAAAATTGCAAACATTAAAAAGATGAATGAAATAGCTATAGCACAAAAGAAATGAAGGTGTCGGTAAAAGGAATAACAAGAAAAAAAAGAAGAAGCAGAATTCTCTAATAGCCATTTCGATAAAATATTCATTCAGTAGATTATAAAAGTCTTGAGAAGAAAATAAAATTATTGGTTGAATTATTGTCTCATCTTGTTAGTAAGACAAGTTAACAGTAGAACGCTGATTATAGAAATAAGCAAAGAAGCACTTGCAAGCGATTTATACAGACATATGTATAAGAAACAAAGGATGACTGTCTATCTTTCCACACTGATACGATTCTTTTTAATTTTCTATTAATTGATAGACAGACTCTTGACTGAACGTCGAGAGTAACAAGAATCTGAAAAGAATATAGGGAAAGATATCGACTTGTGAAGTCTTTATTGATGAATTTTGGGTGAAACAATGAATGAATACTTTGACTTATAATTTATTGCTGAGAATATTACATTCTTAAAATGTCGAATAGTACTTGAAAACAGAATTACTGGCAAAAAGGTAAGAACTTGCAATATTCTTCACGACCAAACAGTTCATGATCGACAGTGAAGAGTGTCAGTCAGAATGAATATTCAAGATTTTTTCTACTAATGTCTTTTATTCTTCGAATATTATTAATTGTTTTGAGGTATGCCAAATTTTAAAAAATGGCATGCATCGCAATGTTTCCAAATATCGCACTACCAAACTCTCGTTAGAGAATGTTGTTTTTTTCTCTCAGTCTTCATTGTGATCAACTGGTGTTACAGATAGATAGGGGCCAATAAAGAAAAAAGAGAACGTGTAAATTGGAAAATCTATTTGATAGTGAAAATCTCAATGTAGTGTGTTATACAAATGCTTGAAAGTAAAATACATCGAAGATTTTTCCATGTTCGAATCTCTTTTCATTTCATCTCACAATAAAATATTATGATACGTATATTCATGCTCGCAAGTATGTTATATAATTTACTCCAGTAGATGATGCAGGCGACTACTAGCAATCTGAGCAGGACGGTTTTATCGAAACGTTTGACCGCACAGTTGCGGTCGGAAAGTTGTTGTTGTCTTTGAAAATAAAACGCATAAATTGATTCTACGAAAGGGCAGACAACATAACGATAGACGTACGATAATATAAAGGTTTGTCAAATATTGTACTAGTCACTTATTATCTTTTAGTAACATGTCGGCATCTGATACAAATGTAGCCGCTGCCGTGGAAAATATCAACCAGAATTTGGCTACATTCTCCAAATGCTGGAGCGCATTTCTTTTCAGTTTTGGTGCTGTCGGTCATTCGCTGAGTATTTACGTGTTCACACGTCGTACATTTCGCTTGAACCCATGTACCAAATATTTCCTGGCATCGACCATAATAGGTTGCTTGATTGTCTGTTGCACGATTCCGCTGCGTGTTCTACAATTTGGTTTTAATATTGATGTATTCATAATGTCCCTTTCAATGTGCAAAGTTGTGCCCTATATTTTGGCTTGTGCAAGGTAATCCAAATTATAGTAAAATACATAAAGAAGCGAACTTTATTTTTTGATTGTTTAGAGTTTTACCTTCTTGGTTCCTTGTTTTAGCCAGTATTGACCGGTGAGTATTGACCAAACGAAATGTTTAGTCATCCATTGACCTCAACACTGGTGCTGGTCTTTGAGGTACAAACTATTTTTCATTCAAAAAGAGTAAGGTTTATTAGATATGTAAAGTATAAATTAAAAGTCAGAGTATTAAGCGCCACTCTTCTATGACAGGTTAGACTTCTGAAGGGCAACAAAAAGCCTGTTCCATCTTGATTTTCGTGGTTTTGACTGCTTGTCACGTTCTACCCAGTTTTCTGCGACAAAAATCTTCTTGTTGTTCATCAAAATTCTGCTGTTCCGTTTTGTGCCATTAACATTTTATGCGCAAAAGATGTTGACATTATGCATATATATTTACCTGTTTCTCAGCTGAATAGCGCTGGCTTGGCTCAGAGGTATGTGTCAGGGGTCAAAACGAACGGGAAATTTTGGGGTTCAAATTGACAATGTTGCCGGTGAGTTTGATTTGTTTTGTCTGGGCTGAATCGAGCTGAACTGAATTACCAAATATTTGGTTTGGTTTCGGCCTCTGATAGTGTTCGTGGGGGACAAACGATAGTCAGAGACATTCACAATACATCTAACGTTATTAATGATTGAACACTCCAAGCCAGTTGGCAGTCCTCTGCTCACTAAAATGTAGAGCTGCTACACGCATTTGATGGTTTGGCACTTATACTTATCACCCAAACTATAAATGGTTTGATACGACATTCTGCTAAAAAATCCCTTGTCTGGAGAAATGCTCTTAATGAGGTACAATTTTCTACGGAAATCCATTGAAAAGGGTACTATTTTTATTCACAATTTGTTGAAATTCTTGTCCTGTTAAACACTTCTTATTGATCAACCACCCTTGTAGACACTTCTAGCTCAAATCCAAAGGATTAAACTTGATATCCAAAATATAATACTGAATTTCAATACGATTATTAAACTAATCTCTATTTCACGATAGACAGCCACCCTATATACTAGAAACTCACTGAGCAAATTTTTAAACGCCTTATTAGAAGATTATGCAATTTTCCAACAATTTCTGTTCTAAAATTCCTAAAATGTTGCCGTTTCAAACAACAACAAGTAGTTTTTCGATCATTTGTACTGTATTATCTGAATGAGAAATGCTATTTCTTCGATTTATTCTTCTATTGTGAAGACAATGAAGATATTTCTGAATTGAAAAACCCAAAGTTTTTGTCAAAAAACTACTGATTGTAGGCGAATTTGCTATTCTTACACACGTACAAGTGTAGAATAACGACTTTTATAGAGTTTATAAACGTGTAACAATCTGTAAATCTTTGCTACCAATGTGTATCATAGGCAATAACGTTCACCAAAAGTTGAAGCTTCAACAGCAGTTGCTTGTTTTCGTTTTCTATCGGCCAATCTTTAACTAATTTCATGACTTTCATTATCACTTTTGGCTTGAGTGTTACAAATATGATTTTCTTTTTTTTAGGTTCCTTTGCAGTTCATCGTCTGGCATTCTACGCAACTGGAGTAATACTCGCATTGCTTCTCGTGCCATTTCACTCACTATTCTGATTATCGGCCTGGCTTACATTCATATGCCGATTTATTACATAATACAGTTACCACAAAAATCATGTGCTGGTCAACCAGGCATCTATCAAGCATTTTTTAGCTTTTGGAATCTGATTTTCTGGAGCTGGTTGCCAACTATTGGGATGCTCGTTTTTAGTTTGCTCACTGTTCGACATGTCCGTCAACGGAGAGTCAGAGTGGCAAATCAAAATACTCAAAATAATATGCATCGAAGTTATAGGAAAACAGATAGCCAACTCATTCAAATGATGCTCATTCAATCGCTCGTGTTTGGTTCGACAACAAGTGCCCACGCATTCGTCAGTCTCTACATTTCATTCAGTAGTAGTTCTCCAAATGATGCTGTCAAACGGGCCGTAAATAATTTTCTCTTGAATACATTCGCTTATATAGCTCTTACGGGTCCATGTTTGAGCTTCTATCTCTTTGCCCTATCCAGTCAACTATTTCGTAATGAACTGATGTCTCTATTTCGTTGTCATCGGCGGTCACAAGCGGAAAGAACTACTACTACATTTGTCATTTCCTACAGAAACAATCGAATTCATTAATCTTTTTCCTTCAATATCAAGCATATTATCGTCGAATATGTCGCTTAGATTTGGTTTACAAAGCAACAATCATATCGTACCAGTTGAGATTTAAAAACGCTATTTTATGGCGTCTTTTGAACACATTCACATCAATTGAGTTACTATTTCTCGAAATGACTTGTGTGGGCATGTCATGATGTTGTCGAAACCCGTATCTAAATAGCTCTCTTTTCTGTATTGCACGATGCATCACTTTTCTTTCTGTTCTATCATATATATTGTTTTATGTTCACAATCGTCTCTATGTCGTATATAATATTGTAGCTTCCCAATGAAAAATATCTCAGCAGAAATCTTGTTTATTTTTTATTATGAACAATTAGTTGTGATTACTCATGCGACGATACCATTTTTCACAAATAATCCAATTAAAATCGATTTTATCCAAAACCGCTCAAGAAAGCAAACCTTCTTTCGAGATAATAATCGATTATTTAATTTGTAAACAGAATTATATTCAAAAGCATTATAATTTTCAAAACAGATTAAAACCATCATTCCGTTGAATCATATTGAGGTATTTTCATGCGATTATAATTTATTATTTGGAGTTGAATTGGATTGATATTGGAAAATAATCATAACCCTAAAAAGATTGATCAAAATCCTGACCCTATTACATTTGATTAAGGAAATCTCAATGGATTATAATCGATTAACTATAGTGAATCATATTTTTCTATATATTTTAGCATAATTTTGTAGCTCTCAATGAGCTCTATCGCATTGGTGTCAGGTGATGATCATAGGTACTGTGCCATTCTATTTGAAGCAGATATCTGCTATGGGTAGGTTCATTGACAATCTCGTCGAATAGACTATAAAGTGTTCGCGAAGATTGTTCATGTGACTCGGGAGTGGTAGTGTTAAAGGGAGAAGCATTAATTCTAAGGTGAAACTGATTCTGAAGTGATTTTTAAATAGGGCCGATATATGGATCAACCGTCCCCTTTTCTGAGATTTGCATGTCAGAAAGATAAAAATACCCTTAAGACATAAACAGCTAATTTACGCACACATTATCAAAATGTTTATGTAATACATGATGGATATTTTATTTATTACAACAAAGACTTATAAAAATGAATAAACCTATTGATAAGATTAATCAATTATATTCATTGTGCATGACATATTCTATTTATTTGATACGAGAAATTTTGACAAATATATATTGTTTATAACATGTAGCACCTGATATTGTAGACTTTGTTGTAAGATTTCAAACGAAAATAAATTTAAAAGTTGGACTAAAATATATCGAGATATTTTCTTTTCTATAATTATAACGTTTTTTTTCAAATAAATCGTCGTTAGTTAAATAATTCGATTATTTAGTAAATGTAATAGACCGAATGAATGTTTATTGAATAACTACTTTTGTTCGTAGAGATACTACGATATTACTGATCTTATTTTCTGTAGCTTCGCTGATTGAATAGAATTACTCTATGCGGACCGTATATAATATGAATACCACTCTGTTCTGACCCTACACAGTCAAATAGGTGCTTGCAGTGCATTGATCAACATAATCTCGATTATCCCATTATCAACAACATCTACACATTGTTTTCATATTCTCCATTCATCGCTTGTCTGCATAGATAACTAATAAAGATTGAAGGACACTTTGTTTTTGTTTTTTTGTATTTTACATATTCAATACGAACTTTATTGAACTTGCAGTCCTTTTCTTGTTCACCTTATATAGAAATAGCAGCTCCTGAAAGTCGGAAACTCGGATAAAACGACTTCGATTATTCTTAAATTCAAAAAAAGGAACAATATCTTATAGTATTCGAAGAATATATCAAATTGACCTGATAATACATAATATGCTCTTGATTGACAAGAACAAAGTTATAATAATGAAAAACAATCGAAATAGCGATGAAACTACAAAATTAATCATGATTTTTCAGATTCATCATAGTTTTATGCGATAAACTATTCTCTTCTGACTTAACGTAGACATGAAAAGAAAAAACATAAAATCCCGGCAATTCAAAACCTGAGTAAATTTTTTTTTGGCGGCTTTTTCCGCACGGTTGAATAGAGCTCGTCGAGTTACTTTTGAAAATGTTGTTTTTGACATGTTCGGCTAACGCTTTAATAGCAAAATTTAAGAAAGTTACGTTAAAAAAATTAGAATAACCTATCAAAATTGAAATACAACAAAAGCATTAAGTTCTAGTAACCTCAATATTTATCCAAATATTTCTTTGAATTTTACTTGTCATATGGTTAAGAACAAAGTGATGAATGCTTTTTAAATAGTAATTGATTGTCGAGACAATTAGTTTTTGTTACGATAGGAAAGGGAAAAAACATAAATAAGCGTTTCTACTATAAGATTTAGTCATCATAGCCTCAGTTCCAAACAAAAAAATGATGATCATATTGAGAATCAACGCAAAAATCTACATCGAGTACTATTCTCAATAATTAAAGCTACTTTTCATCAAATTTCGATCTCGTAGGAGCATAGATCAGCATATTCCAAAATGAGTGAGGATTTCTTTTGAAAGCGAAGGTTTCATGAGGAAAATCATAGAATACAAGTCGGTTTTTATGATTTTTTTTCCCTTTTCTATCGAAAAAATCAACTCTCTCAATAATCAAATACTATTCAAAAAGCATCCATTATTTTTTTCCCCTAAGTATATGATGAGGAAACATCATAAAGAAATATTTGGATAAATATTCAGACTATCAATACTTGATGCTTTTGGTCTATTTCAATTTTTAGAGGTTTTCCTGATTCTTTTTAACATAATTTTTTAAAGTTTGGCTACAAAAACATTGTATGAATATGTCAAAAACAAAATTTCTATAGGTAACTTGATGAGTTTTATCAAATATTGACAAAAAAACAACGCCAGAAAGAATTTTGTTGAAGTTTTGAAATGCCCACACTTGACTTATTTTTCTTTCTTTCGCATAAGAAAACTGCATCTGACATCAAATCGATTAGTTTGTTTTATATATTTAAATATTAATTGACATATTAAACATAATAAATCTATTGCTTATTATGAATTTAATAGAAATAGCTATTTGTTTGTATAAAACCTATTGAATAAAAAATGAAAGAGGTATAAATGTATTTTGTTTTTGTAAATCTTACATTACTATTATTACAGCTGACTAATATCGACGCATGTTGTCATGCATGATTGCCGACGTTGATTGGATCTGAAGTTTTTTAATTTGGTGATGTAAAAGACATGAGTAAAACACCTACGTCACTAATGAATAAATAGATGCTTACTCATTTTCTATATAACAACAACGAAAATAGATGATATGATTGAGTATAAAAGGCTCGTAACTTCTTCGTTGATATTCATTTATATTAAAAATACAAACTTTATATACAAAACAAGTAAGTGTACATATTAAGTAACAATAAACAATCGATTTATTTCATTTTTATGTTATTTCTAGTCTAATTTAATATAAACAATGGGTTGGAGTAGTGATAATCTCTTTGGTGGATATGGTGGATATGGTGGATTTCCATATGGAGGATATGGTGGATACGGTGGAGGATATGGAGGATACGGTGGATACGGTGGAGGATATGGTGGATACGGTGGAGGATATGGTTATGGAGGCTTTGGTGGATTTCCATATGGTGGAGGTTATGGATATGGATGGTAATTGAAAATATTGGCATATGTATTTTTATAATTGATTCCTTAAATAAATACAAATTTTTTTTCTATTAAACGGTTTTGTTATTTTATGAGTCTTTTCGGATCAGACCACATACATTGAATCATGGTATGAATCCTAAATTTGAATGATATCAAATTTTGAGTTAGCGAAAGTGAATCAAGTGCACTAGACATTATAGTGCTCTTCTGAATAAGCACAGCAAAACATAACGTAGAGAGTTCTTGAGCACAGACAATTTTCAATAATTTTTGAAGTTTATGGATTGTTGTTTAGCATTTCTGCATAGCAATAGTTCAGTTCCGTATGGACAGTGTCTTGCTTGGCTCACCGTTAGGGATTCATCGGCTCTGCATTAAATGATTCATATGAATAAGAAATTAGGAAACTATAGCTAATTACAGATGCATGCATGCTTTTATTAAATAAACTTGTTTCAAGGATATTGCACTGGACGTATACAGCATCTTCCGATAATTCATTTTTCAGACCATCGACACTTCAAAACTCTGGAGCTCCTAGGTATCGTTTCCTCGATATCGCAGGGTCTATTTAGCATTGACGATCAATGAAAAAGATTCCTTTCACTCATCTCAAGGACAGCATATATCTATCAGTTAGAAAAAAAGATGACTCTCTAAAATAAAAGTATTGGAAAAAAAATTGTCTCCACTCAGCTCATTACCGAAAAAGATCGGTTTCGAGAAAAATGCAAGCTTTTTCATTTGATGTAGTCTTCTTATTATTACTTGAAATACTTGAAATGTAGATGAAGCATAAATATGTTACAGTTCAATGGAACCATTTGTCTATGTATGTTGTATTGTACTCGTGCGATATATATCATGATAGATGATGCTACCTACCATTGTCTTTATGCTTGTTATACCACTCAATTTGCAATATAATATAGACAGAAGAGCAACAAATTAGTTTTCCGTTGAATTTGTTTGTTGCGTTACAGCTTTTTAAAAGGTGATAGTGACAGTTGGTTTTTACTTATAGTAACTATTAAGAGGTATGCTATTTTATTTTATTTAATGCATTAACTTTGAACATGTGAATGTGAGTGAATATAAGAATCATGCCCATATCTTCAAGTCATAGGGCATCTGAAAAATGTGTCTCTAAGATGCACAAGATCTGATTACTTTTGGAATTTTGTTGTTGCAGATTTAACATAATAAACAATGCACTAATTGCTCTAAACATCGCTATTTGACCAAATAGTTTCAAAGATCACCATAAAACCTTCGAGAATCAAAGATATTTTTTTATAAATTCCTACATTAGACAAGCTAGATAATATGTTCAGATGTTCATCTCAAAGATCTTTTTTTTGACGAAAATCAAGTTTTCTACAATAGAGGAGAGGAAGGGTTTAATGCAGTATCCATTCAAATACATCATAGGTAAAGAGATTTTTCTCAAATATTAAAGTATTTAGTAAAATCTCAATTTCTATTACTTAAAGCAATATTCTTACTATGCACTATCTTCTAGAAATTTGAGCAGATTTATAGAGCACAAGAGTATATTTTTAACTGAAAAAGATATGTGATTGAAGATGCAGATTGAAACATGTTCAATGAAGAATACCTTCTACACATGACAACACATTGATTTTCACAAAAAAAATACAACGATATTTTTTAGAAACAAATGCAAATCACTCTAAAACCATCTTGCACCTGTATTTAGCCATCCCTTTTCTATAAACCTTTTTTTGAACATGAATAATCGTATTCATTCGGATGAGGTAAATATTAAATAAATAAGGTAGCAGTAAGTTGCATTTTGAACGGATTTCGTCTACACTAATCAAATATTGGCACAAACAATTATCGTATGTAAATAACATCGATCAAAACTTTTGTAATTTTCTTTGTTTCAGTTATTTAACCATATTGAACGTTAAATGATGCGCATGATAGACCTTCCGTTTGAGGAAAAGTTGTGCTATTCTAAATGGTAACAAGAGTTTCGGATTTTTTTGATTGTATTGTTTCAAGAACGCTTTTCTTACTAATGACCTGTGTAATGTTTTTTTTTCTCTTGAAATATAATATTTCTTTCCGACTCTATTAGCCTCAGATAAATACAATTAATTCAATGCCTGACAATACATTGGACCAAAACGAAAGATTTGAATTAGAAATTGTCTTTGGAACCATTAAATAAACTATAACTTTTTTCAGGCATACACAGAAGGACACTTCTCTAACTTGTCACTGATATAACAAAATACAAGTTCGTACGCCTTCTCATATGTTTGAAGTTTTATTCAATTTTTCACATATCAGATTTATATCTTTCTTTATCTTTATTTGTTCTTGATAAAGATATAGCCTGTAGATGTGATCGATTAAATATGGATTATATCTAAGAACATTATAATTATTTAATTTTGAGAATGGATTCTAAATTACTCTCATTGTAAACTACATTCTATATCTATATCATTTGCTCGATTATTAATTTGTATTCATAGTTATAGGTGCACTTAAATGTTTGACTAATAATTAGTCATGCACTTGATTGATATAAAACTGCATGATTCATGTGACAATAACACGACTATTGCATGTAATGTATCGATTAGAGACTTTCGCAAAATCAATAGTCAAACTCTAATTTAAAATTGTAAATCAAACTTGAAATATCAAACACGTTGTATTCGTTGTTTTTCAAATTAGCAAGGACCTGTTTTTATTACACTTGAAGATTTTTATTCCATTTCCTCTTATCTATAAAAATGTTAGTTTTTGGTGCAGATCGAGATGCTGTAGAATTTCTCGATTCTGATCCAAAAATTCAAAATGAAAATGATATGCATTTAAATATCATCGTTCAGAAGACAATGGAATTAAATATATCTTTCTTGCTAATGCTGTTACTTTTCATATATAAAATGGAACATTTGCAATTAGTAGTTCCGATGCATTTGTGAATATATCGAATGATGCCAATAAAAAAAACGTTAATGTCGTTTTCATCAGTAAAATATTATTCGTTTGATTTTCAAATAATTCAATATTTTTCTGTATCAGTTTAGACATCAAATTGGCATAACAAGTTTGTCTTTTTGAGCCGAAGAAAATATGCTTGCTAGAGCATCATCATATAATTATGAATATGGTGCTGATCTACAATTAGCACCTATTAATGTTACAAAAAATAATATATTTGCTAGACGTGTATCTGACTTAGAAACTAAACCTAAAGAAGAAAAAACAAAACATGATTGTATTTTTTTTGTTCTGTCTCTTGTTGTTGATATTATTCGAAAAAAGAAAAGAGATGTGAATATATGATTCTTTAGAAGGTTCATGAAACACTTTTTGATTATTTCTGTATGGTTCTTATGGAATTTTACAATGAGGATTAGAACGATGTGGAATCAACATCGTTATATTTATCACAAATAGGAAAAATTTTGTTTTCTTCTACTTCATTTATTTATTTTTTTGTGTATTCGTTTGTTATATATGCTACCGAGTGAATTATCTGGTTAGTGGAAGATTATCAAAAGAAAATCCACGGTATCGTGATAAATTAGATATTATAAAATATATTTGTAATTAACTTAGCATTTATTTATTTAGAAAAAATGGATAATTTATATATAACTTAATGAGGCGTTTACGTACTACATGAATGAAGTTTTCGTTTATTATGACAAGCAGTTATAGCGATGAATAAACTTATTAATAAGATTACTCAATTAAATACATTGCATATAGCGCATTCTACTAGTTTGATACGAGGAATTTTAACAAATATGGGTTATCCATGTCGTGTAACAGCTGAAATTGCGGATTTTGGTGCAAGATTTCAAATTGAAATAAATTCAGTAGTTGGGCAAAAATAAATCAAAACATTGTCTTTGCTATGATCATAATACTTTTTTTAAAAATAATTTATCACTACAGAAAGAATTACATTATTTAGTAAATGTAGCAGATTCAATGAATATTTTTTTTTCAATTAGTAATTTCGTTCGTAAAGATTCTTGAAAAATGACCAAGAATCACACTCTTTCTAGAAGAATCTGTAAACTAAACAACAGTTTGCTACAGCTCAGAATCTGTGATACGATGTGTCCGTCAAGTTGCTACGAAGCATCTGCGATGTAAAGATAAGTATAATAACGTATTAAATCATTTCAATCAAATTCTGGTGACCGGACAATTCGTTGCAGGATAATTCGTTGCAATGACATAATCCAATCATATTTTATATCTGTTTTTCAAAAATGAAGCGACTTTTTCAATTAAGTTTGAAGCATGCAATCCAATGACTTTAAAAAGTACTGAAAATATTAATAATGATTAAATTTTTATTTTTGATCACGGGGTGTGTCACTAGAGCCCTTCATTGGGTTCAAACAACGTTTTTGGACCTAGTCAAAGAAATATAAGTTGCTCTATCAATTTTTGTGTTAATAGATTTCTCAAACATACATCTTATAGAGAAATGTTTTCTCTTTCATCTCATGCATTTAGAGAAGCAATAGAATGTATTATACCAAAAATATTTTAATAAAAAAAGTCTGGGTTCACACTTGGATCCGATCGGACCCGGAAAACCTGGACCCCGACTTATTTTTATTAAAATATTGTGACTATTAAATATTGTAGTGCTTCTCTAAACATGTGAGGTGAAGGAGAAAACATTTTCCTACAAGATGCACGTTTGAATAATATATTAAGATGAAAAGTGGTAGAATGGCTCAAATTTCTTTGACCGGGTCCGGAAAGTTTTTTTGACCCGATGAAGGGCTCTATGTGCCACTATAAAGAATCCTAGCAAGACAGAAAATCGGATTCATTTCCTACCCCATGATTAATGTCATCCCAGGCAGACAAAACTTTCGAAAAACGCGTTTAAACGCACAATCGGGAACCGCGACTGTGATCCATTCACGCTCATTATNCATAGTAAAATTAGGAAGAAACTAAAATTTGCATCTTAAACGACAGAATTATTATGAAGATATAGATGTTACAAGTTTACGTATTTAGATACGTTTGTAGCATCTTTCGAGCAATACTTATCAGTTAACTTTTGGTTTTCTAAAGAACAACAAGAGTTGTAATAGAGGCTCCTTTACCATAGATACTATCGTCCATGGGATATGATACCAGCACTTCTAACTTGAAAGTGATTTCCTAATGAAGAACATTCTCTTTCAAAAATGTTTGAAGTATTGGGTGAATCGAAAAGCAGGCACTAAGATTTGAGAAGTCACATCTTCTATCATCTTTCATAATTATGTCTAAAAAAATTAAGAGTTGGACTTTAGAAGTTTCTCAACATAGATTCTTTTCCAAATTACATAAACCGAACATTTGAGATAAATCATCAGTTTGTATTGCTAGAATCATAGGGCAATGTCGACCATTTTGGCTTTGTTCAAAAAATTTTGCGTACCAAACTGGATATGACTTCTACCGATGCCACATGATATTAGCCACAAAATGATTTGACACAGCAGTTTCAAACTCATAAAATGATAAAATATGTTCGACAGCATCTATAGAAAAAAAAGTTTCTATTACAACTTTTGTTGCTCTTTAGAAAATCAAAGTTAACAGATAAGTATTGCTCGAAAGATACTACAAATGTATCTAAATACGTATACTTGTAACATCTATATTTTCATAATGATTCCGTCGTTTGAGATGAAAATTTTAATTTCTTCCTAACTTCACTATGCCTACGTACTGTGAAAATGTCAGTCAGATTAGTGTGATTAATTGAGCAAGGTTCTGTTGGATTTGGCTTTGGCTTACGCACAATGCCTTCCAAATTGCTTCTGCAAATCATGTGATAAAAAATAACTGAAAACTATCATAAAGTGACTCCGAAATGAGCTAGCCGGGCTCTACAATCAGCTCTACACATGCTAACATCTCTTTAGAGCCACAACTTCAGAGAAAGTTAATGTTTCCAAGTATTGTGAAGAAAACCTAATCGTTTGAGGGTGATTTCGTCACGACCCACTTGATCAACCGAAATGTTTGGAAAAACAGGCAATCTACTGATTGGATAGAGCGCAAAAAACTATATTTAGGACACTGCTTTTTAGAATGAAAAACTTCATATTCCTGACTAAAAATGAAATGAACGCTATTTTCGTGATGGAATCACCTTCACCAATGTATTACCTTTACAGATATAAATAAGTTTCTGCGGAAGTGATGAAACCTAATCATTTTGTTACCATTAAGTATAGTATCGAAAGCATTGTTGATTACTCTGATAAGTTTTCGAAAAGCTATATTTATTTATATAAAATTCTTCAAATACAAAGCCGTTATAAATATTGACTTTTCTCGTTGCTAAGACATGCCTCTTTCTTGGCGCAATCTTCTCTAATAAATATCATAACAATGTAAATAAAAAATGTATTTCTATATGTTATCGACATCGCTCTACACTAATGGTCATATTAGTTTCGAGTAATTGAATAGGTCAACTTCGCCTACTAAGGTGTACCGTTACGTGGACAGGCCGACATACAATTTTGTAGAGCTCGACAAGCTCTATCAAACTAAGTAAAAATATCAAAAGAAAATATTTTAATCTGTGTTTAAATTACTAGCGTCTCGATTTTTCTATGCCAAAAAAGCATAAAATTTCGAAAAATTTCTTAAGTTCGACCTTAAAAGGTTTTAATAACTCTTACTATTTAGTACTAACAAATCTCGTTTTCGACACGCTTTAATTTGGTATTCAAATAATTATGTATGCTATTTGAAATTATACTGTTATCCCCTGGAAAAACATTTTTACGCACCCTGTACACCAGAGCACTGAAGATACTGGAACACCAGCTTTTACTGTTATTCTAGACATATTTATAGCGGTAAATGTCTGTGTCTCAGTGCTTTCTGTGCTGCAATATATACCATACCAGTGTAGTCAGTGTTACAGTGGATTTACTAACGGCGAATAACTGACAGTTTTTCAGTAATTGCACTGACACTGCTCATCCCTAGAGCTATATACATGCAAGTTTTCAGATCAACAGATCTTTTAGTGATTGAGGTCCAAAGAGAACACTTTTGGTCTGTAGTGTATATCTTTGATAACGCCATTTGAAAAGAAAGAAAAGAAGATCATTTGCCCTGGACGACATTTTCTGCCTGAAATGAGTCTTTTTCACATCGATCGAAAAATTGTTCACTGCTGAATAAAAATATATCTAAAAACGATCCGACGTGGGTAGAAAGAAAATACAAAGGTAGAATACTCCTTATATTTGTCAGTTGCAATTCTTTTGATTGCATGTACAATGAATTAGTCAGCTACTGCAGAATGAACTGCTATCTACTTTTGAACTGAAAATAACATCGAAAACTTTACTTGTTGGATTACTGATAGGTGTGAGATTACTGATAGGTGTGAGATTGCTGGTAGATCTTGTCCCCAAAACAGAGCCAAGAATGATTGCTCCGATGGCCAGAGTAGTAAATAAAAAGATCGGAATGATGAATCTTTTCATACGATACCAGTGACGTTTTGTAAATGTACTGAAAATTTCCATCAGAAATACAATTAGAAAAAGATTAGATTAGACTTACTTAATTGTTGGATAAAGGTGTGCATCTAAGTGTAGAAACAGTATTTGTTTAAAATAAACGATTCAAAATGTTCAAAGAATACCTTTAAATGGTGGTTTCAAGAGTACTTCTTTCGGTATAATCTGTTTCAAATGAATGATATGAAGATCGGGTGCTGGATTCAGTTGTGACTGAACTATCATGTAAGTACCAGGCAGAAGAAGAATTTCATCTTCAGTAACAAAATGTGAATGATTACGTATTGTTCGACCATTAATTGCTTCTACAGAGAATAATGTTCGATCGCCACTATTGCCCAAATACATGTTGTTCTCAAGCACAGTCAATTGAGTTGTGCACGATGAAAATGCCCACCAAATCACTGGAGTGCCAGGTGGAAATTCTGCACTCAAATTTTTAGTCACTCCTCGCCAAACAATTAACGGTGGACTGCATGGTAATTTGACCAAACCAGTTAAGAATAGTTTCATATACTTAAAATAGGGTCGTAGATGCTCGCGATCGCTGTTCTTGAGAGTGTGATTGAGCATGAAATAGAGACTTTGATGTGGTCCTTCCCATTCGATAGTGTAAAGGCGAATTGCAGCACTTTCATCAGTTGTCAGTCCATCGGGTGGTTCTTTTGGTGTTTCGTCGAGTGCCATTTGGACATAGAACGATAAATTGTAGATGATATTTGTCAGTGGAGCACATGCTTTGACAAGTGACAACAAAGGCTCTTCGACGTATTCTACAATAGGATCCAAGTCTGCTTGAATATTATTGATGATGTTCGTATGAATCAAGTTACGTTCGCCAGTGATTGATTCTACCACTCGACGATTTTTTCTCATAGAGTCCTCTCGTGCAATAGCAGAATCCTCTATTACTACTGCCACTTGTCTTTGATCAAGTGGTTCTGTTTCATTAATATTCAGCTGTAGCTTGTCAAACTTGGATGATGAATCACTCTTGGTTTCGATGTCTTCGCTAACCGCATGTGATTCAAGGTTCGATTCTTCATTATTGAGCGTAATCGTTGTTAGTTCGATTGAAATGTGGTCATGTTTCATCGCTGCTTTTTTCTTCTTATTACGGTCTGCCATCGTCTTCTGCTTTACAAATAAATATCGATACTTAAAAACCAAATATGAACTATTTTTCATGATGACTAAGACAAGTAATTATTAGCAATTGGAAATTACTAATGAAATATCGACAGCATAAAGATAAAGATCAACAAGTTTCGAAAGATTATCATTACTTCTTACTATCAGGTTTGCATGAATTCCCAATAGAGAAATAATGAATTTGAACTCGGATAAGAAGAGAAACCATTACCGCTTCCTAATCTATAATGAATCTTCTACATTGTTCCTTTTAAACAGAAATTGCCTAGGGCAACCGAAAAGTAATGGCGNTTTTATCTAATTTTTAATTTTGAGTTTTATTTTTGCACCTCTTTAAAATATATCGAATGAATATTGGGTTGTAGAGAAAAGCACTTAAACAAAAATATTTTGACAAGATACACAAAATGAAGCAAAAGATCCAAAATATCATTACACTTTTCGAATCAGGTCATAAATACTGAATCGTAATATAAATCCTATATTTGAAGAATATCAAGTATCGACTCAGCAAAGAGTGAATAAAATTCACTAGACATTAGAGGATTCTCTTGAATGACGCAGCAAAACACAGCTCAGAAGAGTCTCAGGCACAATCGATTTTTAATCGTTTCTCAAGTTTATTGGTTATTTTTAGCTTTTGCGCACATTTCATTATTTAAAGACTTAGCATGAACAGTACTGTGCTTCGATCACCTTAGCGTTGTATAAGCTCTAAGTTGAACAACTCATAACAACAAGAAATTAGAAAACTGTACTTAATTATTAATGCAATTGTTTTATAGAAAAAAACCTTTCTCGAGGACACTGTGGTAATCCTCTACAACACGCTCTGAAGATATTTTTCAGGTTTTATTTACGAAAAGTTCTTTTCCCCTGTCACTCCATTTAATCAACGTGGTACATATCCAAGTGTATTATAGGTGAAGACGTGTTCTTCAAACTGAAACATATTCCGAACAATCTCGTTGTCTGGTACTTATAAAACTACACTTTTTTTTATGTACTATCTTCTAGAAATTTCAACAGATTCGTCGAATGGAAGAGGATATTCTTAGTTCAAAAACAATGACTGAATAGATGAATTGGGATATGTTCAATGAAGTATATCTTTTACACCTGAATACACAACTTCTTTTCGCAAAAAGAAACAACAGTATTTTTCGAAATCGATGCAAATGATCGTAAAACCACTTTCCACATATATTTAACAGTCCTTTTTCTAGAAATTGTTTCTCTTGTCTACACTACTGAAACCTTCACATAAACAGTTGATCTATATAAATAACATCGATTAAGACCTTTTTTTATTGTCTTTCTTTCAGTTATTTAGCTTTATAAAATCACAAATGACGTAAGTGATTCATATGATATTTTAGAAAAAATTCTTCTATTGTAAATCGTACCTGTGTCCAGGCCTGAATGACTGTATTATTTCAAGAATACTTTTCTTAGTAATGCTCTGCTTACTTTATTTTTCGATTGAAAGATAATATTTCTTTCTGATTGAACAAGACTTTGATACATTGAATAAACTCAATTCCTGACGATGAATTGGACAACACTACGTTGAAATTAGAAACTGACGTTGAGGTAATCGAACCAAAAAGCAAATCTTTTTCAGAAAAATGATAAGGATCCTTGTATAACTTATGAATGACTGCACAGAGTAGAAGATCTTTTGTCTTCTCATGTATTTAGAGCTTTATTCAGTATTTTATATGTGAGATAGATAGTGTTCTATGTCTCAAGTTTGTTCCTAAAAAGAGTTCAGTCTGTATACATAATTAACAACACGTGTTTAACACGTCTGAAAAAATCATCATTATTCAATTATAACAATGCACAGCAAAATACTATCATTGTAAACTGTAGTCTCCATCTACAATGTTAGCACCAATGTAAATTTGTATTTACAGTTGTAGCTGCAAATAAATCTTTCATTGATATTCGTTGATGAACTTTATTGATATAGAACTGTATGATTCATGTAAGGATGAAAGAATAACTATACATAAAGTATCCACTAGAGTTTTACGTTAAATAAGTAGCGAAACTCTAATTGAAAATGGTGAATTGAATTTAGAATATTAAATAGATTGTATTCATTACTTTCCAAATAAACAAGGAGAAGTTTTCAATTCGAACACAGAACTTAAAAAAAAAACAGAGACGCATATAAATATCATTGTTTATAAAGACATGGAATCTAACAATATCTTTGCTGTTAATGCTATAATGTCGATTTCATCAATACAACATTGTTTTATTTGATTTCAAATGATTTAGTTCATTGTGTTATTTTAGATGTCTACCTTGTATAACAAGTTCATGTTTTTTTTTCAACCAAAGAAAATATTCTTGCATCCGGTGAGACGGACATATCGAGTTTTGACGTTTTTTGAATAAAAATGATTTTAAGCGTGCTGTTGTATATCTTTTTCGGCCAGATCAAAAAACGCACAAAAAGTCATGTTTTGTTGATTGTTTTCTACCATTCAATTCTTTTTTACTTTTTTTTTTAAATTCATTTTCCTGTTAGATTTCGTCATATTTATGCAGAAAAGTGGTTAAAATGTTATATCAACCAAAAAACGCCGGTTGTATATCAAAAAGGTGGATTATTCAGTGCCTATGGGTTAATATTTTTTTACTCAAAGGTTTTTCATGTCTAATTATATTTAGTTTTTCTTTAGAAATTCAGTTGAATTGGCTATTTACTTGGACCCTTTCTGGTCAGTTGTTGCCATTTGGCAACAGTGAGTCGAACTTTCGCAAAGGGTTGTGTTGTAGTAATGGCATATAATGCTTTCAGAATTCACTAATTACTGTAACACATTTCAACACATATCCGTGATATATAACACAAATCTTTTTCACCGAGTAGATGGCCGAATCTACCGGTAATGGGCGAAAATAGCATCAGAATCGTCAAATTTATTTTCCTGTAAGTCTAAATATTCAATGCCAAAGGCAATTAGTGGTTAATTTTCCTTGGTATATCTGCTGTGTATTGCATGACTCAGTTGAATTAGTCAGTGTGTTCAGACAATAAAAATAGTGATGTTGCCATTTGGCAACATCCAGCCGAAAAGAGTCAAAAATTTGAAAAATTCATTTTTTTATGTATCAAAGCGCAATTTTGTGTTTTTTTTTCATCTATACCTGTATAATAAACCGACGTTTGCCTGCGTATTCATCTGTTTCAGGTCAAAAGTCAAATAATTCTAGAATGTTCTACAACCTATCGGTACGGTGCAAAGTTCTAGAAACTCCGGAAAATTCTAGAAAGTTCCAGAGTATTGCGGAATATTTAGAACTAGACTATTTCAAAATGCTCTGAGGTTCTCTAGAATTTTCTGAAATTTCTAGAACTTTTCGAAAAAAAGTTCGGCTAACTTTGCATTGTTCCGATAGGTGGTAGGATATTCTAGAAATATTTAACAGTTGAGCTGCAACGGAAGGGAAGACGGAAAAACTAAGGTTTATTCAAGAGACAAGAATGAAAAAAACACAAAAGGTTGCGCTTTTGGTAGGCGCGAAAAAATGAATTAAGAAATTGTTGCCTCTTCGATCGGATGTTGTCAAATAGCAGCATAATACCATCAGGTACACAATCACTTTTTTGTTTCGAAAAATAGACTTTTGCTATCCCTATGATAGAGTAACAAAAAATATGAATGAGAATACTTTTTTATTATCTTTCGTCTGGCAGCCGGCCCGCAAAGGTTAACAAGAGAGACAGCATTCTTTCTTTCTTTTTTCGTTCTGATTTATTCCAATACGAAAACTATTCGTTTCAATTGAACTAATGTTGTCTGTCGTTTATACTTTTTTTTATAATTCAAATTATAATGACGTGTTAGGGAATGAAGAAAAAAAGATTCTGAATCCCCGTAGTAAGCTATTCACTGCGTGTAATAATAATATATCTACTATATAATTACTTTCTTTTTGCTCTAGTTGCATAGAGATGCATTTTAATCAGCATATTCTCTGTTTAACTTTCCACGAAATCACATTATTCATTCAATTGTGAAATAATAAGAATGTTCAAGATTCTGAGTCTCACCATGAATGTGAGAAAATAAAATAGCTGTTATTTAGAATAATGTCGTCTAGAATTTCTCCAAAGCATATTCTTAGTTTTATAGTACTTTAAATTGCCGATGTACACTTATCTGGTTGACAAATCAGTAATACTTGTAATATCCCCAAACTGAATGGTAGGAAACCTCTTAATGGAGAATTTAAAGTATTGTACAAGTAAGAATATGCTTTGGAGAAATTCTAAATGGCGTTATTCTAAATAATTAATAATCTTGGACATTCTTATCGCTGTATAATTTCATGCATAATACAAATTTGTGAAAGATTAAACAGAGATTATGCTGACTGAAGAGCATCTCTAGCCAACTCGAGCAAAATAGCACAGTAAAACCTGTTATTTACAAAATGTGCGCATTTGGGTAGCATCAAATTTCCTCAGTTTTTGAGGAAAAAAGTTGCCTGTTTTTGAAAATTAAAAATTTCGA